TCTCTCTCTGTCTCTGTGTCTGTCTCTGTCTGTCTGTCTGTCTGTCTGTCTGTCTGTCTGTCTGTCTGTCTGTCTGTCTGTCTGTCTGTCTCTCACACACACACAAACAAACACACACACGTACACACAAACACACGAGCGCACAAAAAGAAACACACTTGCATGCTCATTCGTAGACACCTGAATGTATATACACACACATTCATACAAAAACAGATACTGTGTGTATCATGTGTTTAGTCAGTAGGTACCACAAGAAATGCATGAGAACTTTGGTATAATTTATTGAAATAAATCACAGATAGTCTTGACTGACACCTCAGTCGTTTGTCTTGCATATTGTCGTAGAAAATATTGTGCTGTTTAAATATAAACGAACAAGCAACAACAATTAATCAGAACGAAATCTCACACGGAATAACATTTATTATTTACGGTCACGGTAAAGCAGTAGGGGGAAAATATTTTTAAAAATAATTCAGGCACGTGAAAATGACAGTTGTCTGTCAGGATTGAGACGAGGCAGCTCGTCAGTCAAAAACATTCAGCTCAGTAAAAGTTGGGCTCAAAGGAAGCTTTCATGACTGCCGGAGCATCTGTCATGTCAAAGGCCCAGCTGACGATAAAGTATCACACGTACACATACACAACGATTCTTTTGGTTTCTGCTGTCATTCAAAGTTTATTCAAGTCAAAAATCAAATTCATTGGCATTAAGTTAGGCTTTAGATCTTTGTCTTCAAGTGTACGTACAATTCGTTTCTTGTGAACTGTAGATTTATAATTATTATTTCTTGAAGAATAAATCTCATTATTTCGAAAATTCTTCCAAAATAAGTCACGCACACGCAAGCACATGGTAAAAAACAAGCTAAATCCATTCACAAAAGCAAAGAAATTTTGTGTAAAAAGTGTGAACGAAATATAGATAGTATTGGTTGTTGACTGAAGTCATTGTTTTGTTGATAGTAAATATATTTTCACACAGGAAAACGCTTCGACAAACTTCACACTCTGTCCGAAATCATGTTTCCAATAAACAATTAATAACCTTTGTCAGTGTATTGACAAACAGTAAATTCTTCGCGATAGAAAATAACATTTCAACATACACCTCTCCATCACAAATACATGTAATCGTTGTCCACTGGGTTACCGTAAAATGCAAAATGTGCAGGTGTTGAAATTGTTTGTGAGTTATTAATACAGACATATATCCGATTTTCCCTCCAACTCAGAAGAATATAAAGTTGAGAGGAAATAGAATGAAAAAGTGTGTGTGTGTGTGTGTGTGTGTGTGTGTGTGTGTGTGTGTGTGTGTGTTTCTGTGTGTATGTATGTGTGTGTGTTTGCATTTTAGATTAGTTGTGTATGTGTGTATGTGCGCTTGTGTTTGTGTGAGTGTTTATTGTGAATAATTGTGTGTTCAAGGCTGTGCACATTTACGAGAAAGTGCACGCGTGCGTGTGCGTGTTTGTGTGTGCCTTTGTGTGTGTGTGTGTGTGTGTGTGCATGTTTGTGTGTGTGTGTGTGTGCGTATGTGTGTGTGTGTACGCGTGTGTGTGTGTAGGTGTGTGTGTGTGCGTATGTGTGTGTGTGTACGCGCGTGTGTGTACGCGCGTGTGTGTGTGTGTAGGTGTGTGTGTGCGTATGTGTATG